AAGATATTTTACTCTTTAATAAACGAGTTTAGTGAGGCTAATTTAAATGCATACAAAAGAATTTTAAATTGGCAGCCATTCATGAAAAGGGTCTATACATTGGCAAGTTTGGCAAAATTTAGACCGGGTAAGAAATCAGAGTTTCAAAAAATGTTCGGTAACACATGACAAATTTCGAATGTAGTTTAAAAACTTGGAAATTCCACATGACACTTATATGGTTTTACCAAAGATCGTGCAACAGAACATGAAAGAAACCCTTGAAGGATGATAAACCCTCGTCTACACGAGCAATTTTTATGTGGCAATTTTTATATGACAAAATATATTTGATCGAGTAGATGGCTCAGCAAATATTTGCCACCAATTCAAAGTTTAGTGGGCCAGTAATGACTTTAGAAAGCAGAGATACGCAGAAACAAGGCGCGACTGCTTAGTTGACTCCAAAAATCTTGGTGCTCACGAGCACATTTGCCACATTTTATGTGACGAGTCGTTTATTTTGTCACATAAAAATTGGCCAATTTTACACGAGCAAATATTCTGAGAATTGTAACATAAAGGTTGTCACATGAAAATTGCTCGTGTAGACGAAGCTTAATCCTTCGTAGGAAAACACATTTTACTGCACATTTTACCACAATACCATGCGAACCTTACACGACCCATAAAGTACAAAGAAATCTCTGTTTTTGCAATATTTGTCCCTGTGCTAACGACATTGTGTATGTTAGGTTTGAAGATTTTTTAACTTTTCTGTACGTATTTAATGCTGTTAACCAGTCGCCATCGTTTTTCCTAAGGAGAATTGATTAAGGCGATGCAAAGCAGGTGTCGCTCGTAGATTGAAAACAGTTGATAGCTTACTCATCAGAAAATTGAAAGGTGGTGAACATAGCACGAGAAACCTAGTTATGTCCAGTTCAGAAAGTATTTTTAGAAACTGCACGCGTAATTTCAAGACGACCTTACGCTGCTCGCTCTAGCGATTATCCTCTGAAGTCTGCACTCGACTCGATGGTTAATAGCATTCGGAAGATGGTCTTTTTAGGAGCCAGTTCAATGGCCAAAACTGTTTGCTGCCACCGATATCTTCCTATCTCGACCATTTTATACCCTGCCAAGAATGTTCAATTGTTAGTAGTATACGTAGCTAGTTGTGTCCTCGCGGGTTGATCATGATTGGGTGCTTTCATTTCACCGATTTTGATTTCCTATTCTAGCTCTCCCTATTGGCAAAGAACCGAACGACGAATCCTTTAGCTTTTCGTAAGCTACAATAACGACTCAGTCAACTACATTTAAGGGTGTAAGCATCCTCGATGACCTAGGGGCAGGTAGTGTGCGGGAGAAACTTAAAACGGCACGGGAAAACTTGGCGAAGAAAAGTTGGAGATAAAGCGAGGAGCCCCTGGGGAGGGAGTCTCGCCGTAGGAGTTCTGGTTTCTGATTGGACAGAAAAATTCTTTGTATTTTTCTGCTCAATCGGCGAGATTTTACTCGAAAAGGAAATTTTCCTTCCAGTTTCTCTCAATGGCGGGAAAAAGTAGAAAAATCGCCTAACTTGACCGCAAGAAACCGTCGGATAATTCAGAATTTGCATCTAAGTATCAAAACTCTTGCGTGGTTTAGAAACGTATGCGAGTTCATTCTGCGACTCACCGATGGGATAACAGTAATAATAACAATTTATTCAAAATTAGTTAAATACATTTTTAAAAAAAAGGAATAATGAAAGAGAAATGCGGATGTAATTCCTCTTTTAAGGATTTTTTGACGTAAAAAGAATAAAAAGGTAATAAGTTATGATGTTAAGCTCTCATGGAAACATCGCTGCTTTCCGTAACCGAAACTTTCCAAACACAATGTGTTTTTCAAGGCACAGGCCAGACAGATGTGCCGGGGACACGACCAGCTGCACGCGCAGCCTTCGGGCGTCCAAGTATTTTCACGCGAAAAGCAATAATGGTTGGCTTTTCATCATGGTTGAAACAAACGTGGTTCTTCTTTTTAAACCAATAAAAAAGCAATCGAGGCGAAGTTCAAGCTCGTTTCAACAATAACAGGTTGAACAAGACGTGAAATTGACCGTGCTTTGTTTGGCTGGCATGATAGTCGTTCACAAATTTTCGGCGTTGAGATGTAAACGAAACTTTTGTTTTCGAGAACAAACATGATGACCGAACTAGCTTCTGTGTAGGCTTCGTATTAGAACACATAAAACGTACTGTGAACCTGCTGCATGTCGACTGGGTAGAATAATGAAAAGGATTTTTTTCTGCCCAATTAGAACTCAGCATTCATCCAGCTGCTTGTAACTGGCGCAGTAAGACTCCGTCTCCAGGGGCTCCTTGCTCTCTTTCCAAGTTTTCTGTGCCGATGTTTCACGCTGTTTCAACATTCTACTGATTCCCCCAATAACTGCCCCTGGGTCTCCGAGATGGCGCGCAAGCGAGGTGCAAGAGAAGTCATCAGTGCGGGTACTCTATCGATCGCACGACACGAGGACCAGTTACTAGTTCTTTCTATCAACAACAAATTCTGAGGTTAGGAAGTCTGAGAGCTTGTTTTAGTGAAATTGTCGGAGGAATATTCCATCAGCTTTAAAAGCAGCAGGAAAACAGCTGCAAAACTCCATTTAATTGCATTTAATTGCGGTTGAAAGGAGAAGGAGACCATTAAGAGCGAGCCAATTTGAAAAAGGTTCAAATTGAACACCTTCTAGAAGACTAATATGGAAAATCGTGTGAAAAGTTCCAATTACGTGACAAATAGGTGCCGAGAACCAATGAAAACTGCGAGAATGTTGTTAACGCCACAACAAAAACAGTTTCTCGAATCTTTTCTCACAAATTCGAAAATGGATGCATTGGAGCTACTGAGTTCATTTACGAGGTGATGCCCTATATAAGCTAAAGGTAATTTGTGTTTGACTCTAGAAGATCGTACGTTTTATTCGTTGAAATGCCGGAAAATTATTGAAAGTTCTTTAAAATATCGCTCCATCTAAAAAATAGCACATGAAAATAACGACGATGACATAAGATTATTGCCGTTTTTTTTAAACTGGTTCTTCAAATTTATACTCAAATAGCTTGAAAAAGAAATTACATGGCAGCAACTTTCCAAAGATATAGCATTTGATTTTGACCTTTTAGAGAGAAAATTAGAAACATCGAGCCCTTTCAAAGGGCAGAAAATAAAGGGCAACTCAGTTCGATTTCATGTCGCTGAGTGCGAACCATTAATGTAGTTTTACCGAACAAAACACAAATTTAGCGTAAAAAAAAAACAAAGCAAGTGGACTTAAGTGGACGTTTCAATCCAAAATCAGCAAAATACTTCGTCCATTACGTTGGTAATATCTGTTTTTCAAGAAGAAAATAAACGCACACTTCTAAAATACACAATTCAGACGAGGATGAATTCAGTGTAGAAAACATGACGCCTACATTTTCTCCCTACGATACGTCGTTAATCCTAACGCAAAAGATTTCAGTATCTAGGCAAAACTGGGAAGTATTATGCATTATGTAAGTTATAAGGTTGTGGTTTGCCCTCGCCGGTGCCCTCGAACTCTTTAACACCAAAACCAAAAAAGTGGTTAATACAAGTAGTGGTCAATAAGCGTATTTATTCTGATATAAAAAATTACCTGCGATTCTCTCCAATTTTCTTGTCGTTTGGTATTTGAGAAAGCAATTTTCCATCTATACAGGCTAATAGCAAACTGCCGGGAGCCAAACACCACGCCCTTTCTGTTAAAGGTCCTTGCGCGGCCAATCAGATTCTGATTTTGTCGAAAGCTGACAGCTTGGCTACGTTTAAATCAATATTAACTCCTGATTTTAAAAGGTGATCCTGGAACGTTTTAATAATGCTACGACACAAGACTGAGCCGGGCATATGACCAAGCGGCATAATTGGTTGGATATATCTTATGATAAAAGGCCAAAATAACATGGCAAAATGCCAGACAAGATAATGAAGATGTCAGAAGTGGTTAGTTAAATTCTGTTCCTCAAAATTTCCCAGAGCAGCCACTGAAGGAAAGTTGTAAATTTCAACAAACCCTTTATGCAAATTCTTAAACCTTGTTTAATTTTTCTTTCGCCTTTGCACTTTTAGAGAACATCCGTCATTAACACTTCTTCTGTTCTGCAGGTGTATTTTACCATTTTAAAGCTCATTATTGTTGTTAAAAACATCACTGATCTCCATTTTGAGGTTTTTTAGAAATTCCACATGTCTAGTCTGTTCTGATCCTTGGCGTCAACTTCAACGAAATCAATTACAATCAGTCTTTCGTATTTCATTGCGAACAGAAGGTTGGAAATGTCGAAGGTTAAATAATAACCCAAAAAGAAAACGAACAAATAGTGTTTTGAAGAAAATGGATACATTAATTCTACCTCTTCAACAGAGCTTAATATGTCTCAAAGAACCTAGTTAACCCTTTTCCCGCTTTTTAAAGGAGGATTCAGGGCAATTTGTGTTATTATTAAACAATTGTTTCATTGACATCCATTCTTGCTAGAACGTTCGGAACTAAAACCATACCATCCACTCTCGTCAAGGTAACATGCACAAACTAGTTAAAAAAAGTCCAATAGTACACTTATCTATTTGTGCAGATGAAAAAAAAAAAAAGGAAAAAGAAACATAAAGTGCAATTTGTGAAAAGTTAAAGGGACCTGGTAATTACTAATTACCAGGTCCCTTTTACTTGAAGTAATTTCGATTCTTACCATCTGGTCATAAAATTCCCTGCGAGTACAATCAGTTGCTTCGATCTTTCCCAGCTACTTTAAGATTGTATACCATCTTGATCCCACGACTCTGGTGGCTGAACCAAAAAATCATCGGAAATGTTTCTTGTCACAGCAAGGCAAGATAAAATCACTCACAAAGAAATGAGAAGTAAAAGTTTTCCGTTGTTTCTGGTGTAAACAAATTGACTTTGTTGTCTCCATTTGTTCAAAATGTTGTTTCTCTTGCAGGTAGGAAACAAGAACAATCATGCAAGACGTGCACATTAATAGAACAGCCAACATATCTTCGGCAAACGCAACAGTACCGGGTTTTCCCGTATACCTCCACCAGCCTCTTGGAGCCACAGTGTTCCAAATCAGTTTGTGGTCGACCATTGCCTTTCTCGGCGTGTTCGGCAATCTCTTGGTATGCATCGTGATCCTTAGCCAAGCGAAGATGAAGACCTCAATAAACTACTACTTGCTGAGCTTGGCCATAGCGGATTTGGGGGTACTGCTATTGATCTACCCTATAGCGGTGTTAAGATATCTCTTTCCATTTCGCTGGTTGTTAGGAAGGCAGGTATGTTTCTACCTAACTCCTACAGTGGAGATATTCTTCGGAGCCTCCACCTGGTCAATTGCAGCCATTGCCATCGAGAGATACCGAAACGTTGTTGGCGCCAAGCGCTACCAGATAAGATACAGGTCTCGCGATCGAATGAGGACTTTCGTTGTTATTGGTATGGTTTGGGTGGCCTCATTTTTAGTTTCATCCGTACCTCTATACCCTATCATGACCTACAATTCCAATCTGAAACTTTGCTATCCCGAATGGCCTGATATGTCTGGGACAAATGCATTCTATCTGACGCATTCCTTAACTCTACTCGTCTTCTGGTATGTCCTACCTTTGATTGTCATAGTATTCACATACGTCAAGATTAAGAAAAGAGTACGCGAAAGTGTTAAGTTCCGAAGCTCAATGACATCTCAGTCTTCACGAAACTCAGAAAGACGTGATAAATCGATCTGGCGACAAAGTAACAAGGCAAAGAGGATTCTTACACCTTTGGTTGTTTTGTATGCTGTGACAATGTTTCCGTTGAACGCTTTACGCACCTTGTTGCTTATTATACCGACGTTTTGGACGAATTCTTACTATAATCTGATCATGGGCCAAGTTGGATTTTTCGTTTTAATCAACTCGTCAGCTAATCCGCTACTGTACTATATCATGAGTAAAGAATTCAAGGATGCATTCAAGAAAATATTCAGAAGTCTGAAAGACAAGACGTTTTTCAGAGATTTCTGCAGAAAAATCAGAGCATTGTTGGGAAACTCGAAAGAGCTGGAAGAAGAGGAACAAAATCTTCAACTAACAAGTAACAACAACTCTCAGGTTGCGCTTATCAATGTCCAGATTGTCACTGGTTTGTAAACTCCGAACTGTACCGTGCATTTTCCATGTACTATAAGCTAACGGCCAGTTGATAACAGCCATAGTAAAGGCCATGTAGACAGGGAGGTATGAGGGTCAGTTTTGTCTCGAGCAAAAAGCTATTTCTCCGTTGTTCGTCTAGATTTCCCACAACTAGATTCATGAATACGCCGAGCCCTTGATGTATTGGCTCCTGATAGTGGCTCCTGTATGATGCAAAGGTGATATCTAATTGGAGATTTCAGTGTGAATCTGGCGCTGAGTGAGTCCTTGTAGATTTGTAAACTACTTACAAAATTCGCGTTATTAGGGCTAGTGAGCCCGATAGCAAATTTATAAAGTGTGGCAACTTAAAATATGTTAACACTGTATTTATTCAATTCATCAAGACAACTGGATATTATATTCCTGTTTGCTTCGATTAGGTAAACCGCAAATTTTCATCGGAACCATGGCCACCATCATCTTAGATCTGCTTTACAAGAAGCCTGAGGAAACTCAAGCGAAATGTAGTTAGAATGAAAAATGAAGTGAAAATGAAAATGGAACTTCAGTAGAATTTGTAGACTTTGCTATCGCTTTATCCTTCACGACAGTTGAATCAGTGCTATTTGGAAATTTCAACTCAATAATATTTCTTCAAGATAAAACAAGAGGAGTCATAAACGTAACGAGATTGAAAATATGTTCCTTCATGTAATTAAGCTATAATTTTAAGATTTTACGATTTTTAGCGCCTGGGCCATTAGTCGAAAGAGACAAAACTTGTAGAAAAAGTGTAAATACCTTTTAAACAAATACGCGTCATGAAAAATTATTCTATTAAACCTCCATTTACACTATATTAATATAACGTGAGGGACTCTCATTGTCCCTAAATGTCGAGATTTGGCTCAGTTTTAGGTGTTTTCTGTGGGAAAGCCTAATTTCTACATCTTCCTGTGGACTATATATCGTAATTTATTTCAGGTTAAAGATGAGGCCTTTTTTCAAGAGAAACTGGTTAAGAAATACTGTATCTACTATAGTGAATAAGTGTAATGGTTACAATTGAGGCAATATGTAATATATAGTTCACTCTGTGTGTTACACGGACTTGTTTAATCAGTACGGTTTGAAAAAGTTCAAACCTTAGACAGGAACTGAACTTGGCGATTTTAGCAGACTTTCCTTGGCCGGAATGACGTAAAATTTACACCAGTTACTGAACCTGGATCATACATCTAGTTAAAACAAAGGAGATCACTACCGTGAAGGAGGATACCCGGTCTTACCAAGCAAAGATATTGAAGATTTCACTTCTCCCTTTACTCCTTAGTTTTTGTTTCGATTGAGAAGATATATCAAACACTCGAGACAGTGTTTCATCGGCTATCCAAACACCTCAAATTTCGTCAAAAATACTCCGCCGCGTTTCGTATTCTCCACTGTCCTCTCGGTGTTTGTCCACTGTCTTCTCGGTGTTTGGATACCCCGATGAAACACTGTTTCTCGTGTTTGATATCTTACTTACCACGGTAAACCATTTCAAATAAATTAGTATTGCCAAGACAACAATAGACCAAAACCCTCGAAATGAGTAGCGGTTAGTTTTTGTGCGAACTTTACACGATCTAGAAAAGCCGCAGACTCAGTCCGAGATACAAGGACCAGGCCAGACCGGCCTAACTTCAAAATTACGGCTGCTAAAGAGCAATGAATCTGGTGCGTTCTACAATGGCCATTTTCACATTAAATGAATGACGCCGTGTTTGGACGAAGAAGTCGCCTCAGACACACATTCGTCTTAGTGCGATTTTTGACGGAAAAATCATCTAAGTTTGTTCGTCAATTTGGACGTCTATTAAGACTTCTTCGTCTGTACGGCCAAGTCATCCAAAAGCCGACACACCACACAAACAAATGGTCCTATCTCGGTCTTAAAGTTTCAAACTTCATTCAACGCTTTTCATTGAAGAAAGGGCATAAGCTTCATAACGGAGACGAAAAGGAGGCGAGAAGTAACGCTCTTTGGTAGAAGATTTAACCGACAAAAGGCGCTAATTATCAAAATCTTATATTAGTGTCTGCGTACGTTACGATTTTGCCGTGGTCAAACGGCGCATGACAGTCCATGATAGTTGATTCTCCCCTAACAATCATACGTGCGTTTTAACCGGAAAAACTATCAAAGTATACCAGGGAGAATTTGAACAAGCTAGTTGGGTGATACTAATGGATTAATTAGTAGAATTCTGCTAGTATACTAATGCAAATGCTGCAATCTGATTGGTCGAGCTACTCGTGTACTATCAGCCATTAGTATCACCCAACTAGAGGACTAATGCAAATCCTGCATTTTAATTGGCTGCGCTACTAGAGGACTATTAGTAATAGTCCTCTGAGTAGCGAAATTGGCGCAATCGAGCGTGACGCTTTCTTTCGTTTTATTCCCAAATAAATATTTCTTCAACTTGCATTTGCTAACTTTATTATTGCCT